TGTGGTGACGGCAGTCAACTTGGGACGATACTAGGTGAGTTGTCTTCAAAACATTAAAAGGATAAAAAGGATTAAGTCTTCGATGTTGATCCATCCTTCAGTATGATGCAGCATGCATTCTACTTCCAGTCAGAATCGTAGTGACTTATTGAATGCGATGTGGCCTATACAATGACTTGGGGGCCAGCCGATGTACAAGTCAGTGTTCTTATCCTCCCAGACGAATCTGGTACCAATTTACCGTCCCCGGAGGGTAGAAGGCTTGGTTGGCCTGGGCGGGAGTCGACCCGGGATTTGAACCCAGGACCGCGCGAGTGGTAAGCGCGCCACTTGTCACTACACCACCTACTGCCCCTCTCTAATATCAAGCAATTAAATTGCTTCCTAAAAATCCGGAATGGGCTTCGTGTGAGTGAAGATGTAGGCCTTATTTAGACTGACTCTTTCTAGAAGGGAGAGCGAATTGTGCTTCCGCAAGCCAAGGCAATCAGCTGCATCGACCGAAGGCCGTGGCGTTGACAGTTCCTGCGGGCGATGCCCTCTGAGCCAGGTCTGCCACTTGTCGTCCCTGGCCCTATACCATGCGCTGAGTTGTCAGCACAATTGCTTAAAGATAGAATTATTCGCTTTGCTCCTTGTTTCACCTCACGCCTCGAATTATTAACACTTGTATGCCATTGATCTTATGGCAGGAAAACGGTCACAACAATTTCCTTTTTTTGCGCTCGATTGGTATAATCAGTAGAAGCACCTAGCGCAGGTATGGGGAGTTAACTCCCGTTGGGTGGGCTGGGTCATACTACAACGCTCAATTCGTCGCGAATGCCGCTACTGAGAGGTAGCGCTTCACATTCAGGTAGTACTCTTCTCAGATAACGCGACAGCTCTACTCTCGTAGGGAACGCCCACTTTTTTGAATGCAGGAACATGGCAGCATATGCTGCGGGTCCGCCTCTGCTCCCTGATTGGCCGATCTGATTTGGGGAGGAGAGTGAGCGTACTGATGAAAGCTCCTGCCACGCTAGCCGTCGGCTCTCTCTCTCTTCCTGGAACTGCTGCGAACTCCTGACAGCAGGATATACTGCCATGCTCGGACCACTAGGCGAGAAGCCTCTCCCCTCTTATTCTTCGCCCGCCTGCTGTAAAGCTGCGACAGGCACTACTGACAGGTGCGGCCTGTAGGGGAACTAGTGTAGCAGGGTAAGCAAAGGGAAGGCCGAAAAGAGGAAGGAGGACGAAGGAAATGAAGATGATGGCAAAGGAGGCAGAAGATAGACGAGATAGAAGAATATAAACAACCAGCATATATAAATGTGTATAGGCAATAAGAAAATAATTCCCCCCTACATGTTCGTCACAGCTCATCGTGTGGCGATCAGGACGAAGCTTACGAAGCTGTACACGAATCGACCACCGGAGGCAGCATTCAAGAAGGAGAAAAAGGATCTGAAGATAACGAAGAGGACAACCGGTCAAGATGACAACGTCACAGGGCAGTTCCGTTTCTATTAAAGCGTCCGCGGTGGCGGAACCCGGGACCTTGATGGAGGTCTACGGGCGACGCGCCC